TGTCCAATTTTATAGAGTCGGGTCTGATCGAAATTTTTTACAAAAATATAAAGGTTTTTATATTATTTTTTTATATATAATATTTAAATCTACAATTTTATATAAAAGAATGTGATTCCTTGATTCGATAGATATAAATAACTTAAATCAAAATACGGATTATCAACTTTTGTTTACTTATTAGGGGTGAATAAAATTCGATTTAATTCAGATAAAATATTTTTAAAATTTTGAGTAATTACACGAAACATATAAATTTGGACAGCTCAAGGTGTAAATATCCTATCCTGTTCTGCATATAAATACTAATTATTGACGAAAACGGGTAAAGAAAACGAAAGAACACGAGAATTTTACGAGGTTCGGCAATGTGCTTACGTCCTCGGTGCCTAGGCGGCGCTAGAATTTTATTCAATGATATTTTAGGTCTAGGTTACATCTCTATTTATAATAGAAAACTCTGGTACATAATTACAAAATCAACCATGTACCGTACCGCGGGGGCTGCGCCCCCTCACCCCCAACCCACATAATTTGTAACCCCACAACGAGACTTTCTTTGTAAGGACAGTTGGTGTTCGCTTCGCTCACTCCGCTCCATCTCCTGTCCTCTTTACTGGTATATTTATGAGCCATATCTAACAAATCTCCACCTTGGCGAATATCCTGCCTCTTGGAAAATTCAATGTGGGTTGGGTTACCTTGATTCTTTAACAACTCGAAACATTCAACAAGTCCAAGCAATGCTTGAACTTATCTGTCGTAACTGGCTTAGTGAACATATCAGCGGCATTTTCATCAATATGTACCTTCTGAAACCAAACCTCTCAAGATGCAACCAACTCTCTGATCTTGTGGAACCTTACATCAATATGTTTAGTTCTAGCACGATACACCTGATTCTTAGCCAAGTGAATAGCACTTTGATTATCACAAAGCAACTGAACTCCACCTTGTTGAACATCCAACTCCTTTACTAAACCAGTAAGCCATAAAGCTTCTTTTGCAGCTTCAGCCGCTGCCATGTATTCAGCTTCAGTTGTAGATAGTGCCACGACAGATTGAACAGTAGACTTCCAACAAATAGGCCCTCCACCAAGAGTAAACACATACCCTGTCGTAGATCTTCTATTATCCAAGTCACCTGCATAATCTGAATCCACATATCCTACAACCAAAGGATTATCCCGCTGACTCCCAAAAACAATTCTATGTCCCACAGTACCCTTTAAGTACCGAAAGATCCACTTGACTGCATCCCAATGTTGCTTACCAGGTTTAGACATGTACTTACAAACTTGACTAACAGCATGAGCTAAATCAGGACGTACATACCATCGCATACATCAAGCAGCCAACAGCATTAGAATACGGAACCTTTGCCATATTTTCAGCTTCCTTATCTGTCTTAGGGCACTGTTCTGATGAGCTTAAAGTGATTCGCCAATGGAGTGCTAACTGGTTTCGCGCTGCTCATCGCAAACCTTTCTAGCATTTTCTCAACATAACCCGTGAGATAGTCGCAGTTTCCTTGAGTCTCTGTCCCTGCAAATTTCCATTCCAAGAATTTTCTTTGCAGCACCTAAATCTTTCATATCAAATTCCTGACTCGATAAAGTTTTCAAACCGATAACATCATCCATGTTCTTCGCAGCAATCAACATATCATCAACATACAGTAATAGAAAATAAAAGAACCATCATCAAGGCTCTTAACATAGACACAACAATCATACTCACATCGGTTGTAGCCAATCTTGATCATATAGGAGTCAAACCGTTTATACCACTGTCTCGGAGACTGTTTTAACCGTACAAAGATTTCTTCAATCTGCAAACTAAATGCTCGTTTCCAGGTTGAGTGAAACCTTCAGGTTGCCGCATGTAGATCTGCTCCTCTAAATCACCATGCAAAAAAGCAGTTTTAACATCCATCTGCTCTAAATGCAAATCCCAACTAGCCACCAATGCAAGTACTGCTCGGATTGAAGTGTGCCTGACCACAGGAGAAAAGATTTCATCATAATCAACTCCTTTCTGCTGTGAAAACCCTTCGCTACCAAACGAGCCTTGAACTTCCCCCTCTTTTTCTGTTACTGCTGGTTTCTTCTTATACACCCATTTGCAACCAATCGGCTTCTACCCTCAGGAAGGGGAATAACTCCCATGTGCGATTGTGATTCAAAGACTCCATCTCCTCAACCATGGCTGCCATCCACTTGTCATTTTCCTGATAGTAACGGCATCATGAAAGTAACTGGATCATCATTGCTAACAGTAAGTGCAAAAGATACCAAGTCTTCAAAACCCAATCTGTTCGGAGGCTTTATATCGTCCGTCTCACCCTGTCTCTGGCGAGACTATAATCCTGCAAATCATCCGTAGTGGAACCACCAGAAGTCGGTTGAGAAGTTTCTGGTTTCTCAACTGGAAACTGCTCGAAATCTACCACTGTCGTGTCTTGCTTCTGTTGCAACATAGACTGTTCATCAAAAACGACATCTCTACTAATCACAACTTTCTTCGCAACTGGATCCCAGAACTTGAATCCTTTGACACCTTTCTTGTAACCCAGAAAAATGCACTCCTTCGATTTGCATCAAGTTGGATCTCTCATCAGCAGGTACATGCACATAAGCAGGACAACCAAAAATCCGTAAGTTATCAAAACTAACATCATGACCAGTCCATACCTCTTCTGCAACTTTCCCAGCCAGTGATGCCCTTGGCGATCTGTTGATAAGGTAACACGCCATGTTAACAGCCTCAGCCCAGAAGTGTTTGGGAAGCCTCGCATTCAACCGCAAACATCTGGCTCTTTCATTCAACGACCTGTTCATTCGTTCCGCAACACCATTCTGTTGTGGTGTCTTGCGCACTGTAAAAGCCTCTGAATCCCATGCTCCTTACAGAATTGTAGGAACTGTGAATCTGTGTACTCCGTACCATTGTCAGACCGCAAACTTGATTTTTCGTCCTGTTTGGTTTTCTACTCAGCTTTCCACAGCTTGAACTTCTCAAAAACTTCAGATTTCTGTTTCAAAAATACACCCAAACTTTCCGTGAAAAATCATCAATAAAAGTAACATAGTACCTAGATCCACCCAAAGACGATGTCGTGGAAGGCCCCCATACATCAGAATGCACATAATCAAGAATCCCTTGAGTTGTGTGCTTCGCAGTCTTGAAACGGACTTTAGTCTGTTTACCAAGAACAATACTTGCAAAAATCGAGCTTACAGCTTTTTGACACCATGCAACAAGTTTCTCTTGTGTAATTCTGCCATACCACGTTCACTAAGATGAGCAAGGCGCATATGCCACAAGTTTGTCGTATCATCACAGGACTCAACAGAGTGAACTCCACCTGCAACGGTACTCCCTAACAATCTGTAGATATTCCCTGCAGTCATCTTGCCTTTCATCACAGTCAATGCTCCTTTAACAATCCGAATGGTTTCCCTATCCTCGTCAGCCTTAGGGATAAAACCATTCTTGTGCAAAGTGCCCAAGGAAATCAAATTCTTCTTCAAGTCTGGGATATGTCGAACACCACTCAACGTCCGAACGGAGCCATCGTGCATCTTAATTCTGACATCACCAATACCAACAATATTGCAACATCGATCATCACCCAAATAAACCGAACCAGAATTAACCGGCCTATATGTCGAAAACCATTCCCTATTTGGCGTGATGTGATAAGAACATCCAGAATCAAGAATCCAAGCATCTGTCAATTGTGTCGTTGAAATAGAAAGCATATCACCCTCACTGCAATCAGAAGTATCATCCTCGACCACGTTCACAGACTTGGATGAGCCATCACGCTTCTCATCAGTCTGCTTTTTCAACTTTGGACAGTCTCGCTTCATATGTCCCGCCTCCTTGCACTTGTAACAGTGAATCGTCTTCTTATCCCTGGATTTGTATCTGGAATTCCGCTTCCCGGACCCTACCTTCTCTGGCTTCTGTCCACGATCTCGATTACCCTTGACATATAAGCTATCGTCTTGAGAGCTTTCCCCTGCATTCTGCTTCCGCTGGTTGTGAGCCAACAAGGCTGCAGTAATCTCCTCAACGTTGATAGTCTCTTTCCCATATGTAAGAGTAGTCACCATGTGTTCGTAAGAGGAAGGCAACGAACACAACAGAATCATCGCTCTGTCTTCATCCTCAATTTTCACATCAAGCCGAGCCAGATCAGAAACGATTTGATTGAAGACATTCACGTGTTGCGCCAAATCGTGATCGTCCTGCATCTTCATCCCATACAACCGCTGCTTCAGATACAGTTTTGTCGTTAAGGATTTGGACATAAACTGACTTTCCAACTTCCTCCAAATTTCGTCTGGAGACGATAGATGCATGACGTGATACATGACCTCGTCCGCCAAGCATAATCGTATGGTTCCTGCCGCTCGCTACTGCAATTCTTCCCAATCTTCCTCATCCATCGACGCCGGCTTTGTAGGTCGCAAAGCCTTCAAGATCCCTTGCTGCGCCAATAGATCCTTCACCCTCGTTTGCCATAATCCGAAGTTACCCTGACCATCGAATTTCGCGACTTCGAATTTTGCTCCTGACATCTGATACCAATTGTTGATGAAAACGGGTAAAGAAAACAAAAGAACACGAGAATTTTACGAGGTTCGGCAATGTGCTTACGTCCTCGGTGCCTAGGCGGCGCTAGAATTTTATTCAATGATATTTTAGGTCTAGGTTCATCTCTATTTATAATAGAAAACCTGGTACATAATTACAAAATCAACCTGTACCGTACCGCGGGGGCGGAGCCCCCGCACCCCCAACCCACATAATTTGTAACCCCACAACGAGACTTTCTTTGTAAGGACAGTTGATGTTCGCTTCGCTCACTCCGCTCCATCTCCTGTCCTCTTTACTGGTATATTTATGAGCCATATCTAACACTAATCTTCTCCTTTCCAATAAATTGCAACTCCAATTCACTGTCTTCTTTCTGCAAATTTCTGGAAATCATGGGGAAGAAGAGCTTAGGCCGTCAAAAGGTAGAGATGGTGAAGATGAAGAACAATAGCAATCTCCAAGTGACCTTCTCGAAACGGCGTTCTGGTCTTTTTAAAAAGGCTAGTGAACTCTGCACACTTTGCGGTGTCGAAATCGGTATCATCGTCTTTTCGCCGGGGAATAAAGTTTTCTCCTTTGGTCATCCCGAGATCCGTAATGCTATTGATTGGTATGTCAACGGCAACCCTCCGGATAATTCGAGCACTCTGTATATCATGGACGCTCATCGTAACGCGCATGTTCGCGAACTCAACATGCAGCTTAGTGAGGTCTGGTTACAATCCGTGCCTAATTCTCGTTACATGTGTGTTGGTTTGATTAATACTCGCTTTTGTCACAGTTGGTGAGCCAAACCGAAGTCGAAAAAAGGCACGGCGAAGAGCTGAGCCAACTGAGAAGAGCAAGCCAGGGGCAGTACTGGTGGGAGGCGCCCGTCGAGGAACTTAGTCTGCCGCTTCTCCAGCAGCTGAAATCGGCGTTAGAGGAGTTGAAGAAGAATGTGGCAAAGCAAGTGGAGAAGCTTCGTATTCAGACCACGATTTCCCAGCAGTTTTTCATGGGGAGTTCGAGTACAGGGATGTTTCCGAATAACATCGATTTCGACCCGAACATGATGCCTCAAGGATACAATGCTCCTCCTAATACGATACCTCCTGGATTCAACCCCAATCCCGAAGGATACAATCCTTGTCCTCCTGGATTTGGACATGCATTCTTCTAAGTAATTTAAGAGTGCTTTCGTTTGGAATAAACAAAGATTTTTGTCACAGTGTGTTTGGTTTTATGTTTGTATTTGATTTGGTTATGAAATTAGTATATGATAATAAGAGCCCTGTAAATATTTTGTATGTGATGGAATATTTTCCCTAAAATGACCCGAAATTCGCCGGAAAGTGAGTTCGAGCAACGAGATATTTAGAGTTGTGAGCAAAGTTCGAGGAAAAACCTAAGTTTTCGGAAACAGGTTCCTCCTCCATATCTGCCGTGAGCAGCTGTGGCACTAGAGTGCCGGAAAGATTCCGGTGAAAAATTTGGTGTTTGGTTTTGAGTGATCATTGGAGAAGACAATGTTGTCTAAACTGTCCGAAGATATTGTGCATGTCCATGACGACGAACTTGCCTTAAATGCCACTAATTACATCATGTGGCTGAGGTTCATCAATCACGAATCAATGTAATAAGATTTTTTAACTCCCAAATGAATCCTTTTCTTTTTGTTATCATTCGAAGATCAAACGCATATCTTTTAGTTGCATGGTGATCATACATTAAGGATAAAGATTTTGGTAACCTACAAAATCATGGATTAATCATACAAACTAAACTTAATTAGTACAATAAAGATAGCTTAGGACAATGACTAAATAATTATTTAATAATATAAATAAACTTAATTTGGTTGTGATTGATAATTTCGATTAAAGTATTATAATGAATAATTTAAGAATTATTTTAACTAAAGTCTTTAACAATCTTTGTTTCTTGTCTTGTTCCCAATGGTAGCACACCATTTGCACGTGCAGTCAACCTTGTTCAATATGTGATGATGTGAAGAAGACTAGGGTTTAATCAACAAATTCAGCTTTTGCTCCGTCTCTAAGGGTCCTCATCAAATGCGATTGTATGGAGTCGGACCGTCTGATAGCTGTGTTCTGTTTATGGAGTAGTATTTGATTCCAATGTCCCCAGGCTGTGCTGTGAACCACTTCACTTTTGGAACCGCCAGTGCCCCACACCCTCCCACTCTCCACTGGACGTTCCCCTCTATTAGATTATATTATTGTTTGATGTAAATTAATCATACGATTAACTAGAAACGACAAAGATAGGAAGGGGGGAAAGGACAAATGAATAGGCTAGTTTTCGAACATCGATGCTCCATCTCCTGCCTGGCATATTGTTCATTGTATGTACGTGCGCATGCATTATATGAGCCAGCTCATACAAACTCTTATCCATTCCTCATGTATGTAGAGAAATTACTGCTTTCATCTTCACTGTCAAATCTAATGTTTATCTGCTTTTCAATCACTCATTAATTTGTTAAAGTTTTAACCTTTCTTTTTGACTAAGCAATGTCTTATGTAGCTTAGCTGTTCACAGAAATATAAGGTGAATGCCTGCATCCCAGTGTTACAGCCTGTTTTCTCACTCTCTTCAACTTTCCTTTTTGTTTACGTTTGGCCTGCAGACCCCTTTATTTTGAAACCTATCCTCCATTGAAGTGAAGAAGAAGAAGATACCCAAAGTCCTAAATGGATCCCTGCCCTTTTGTAAGGATCCTGGTGGGTAATTTTGCCTTGAAATTCCCACCATCGACAAACACCTCACTCTCCAGAATCCACCCTTCTACTTCTCCATATTTTTTCAGTATTAAACTCAGCAACTTCCCCCATCAAGTGGCTACGATCCCATTTATCGTGTCCCAACAAGACGGCAACAATTGTTCTTCTTCTTTGCAGAAATCTGTGGCTGCTTGTTTTAGTCTTGGTAAGTCTGAGATCGATAGAATCATAAAGGGTTCATCATCGTGTAATGTTTCGATCATGATTTACGCTTGTCCTAATGGAAGCACTTGTGGATTGCCTTATAAGAAGTTGTTGGGGAAAGTTTCGGTGCCATTGGATCTACGTGGAGCTGAATCCAGGCCATGTGTGGTTCACAATGGATGGATTACTATAGGCCGGAATAAAAGCAACAAGGATGGATCATCTCCCAAGTTGAGTTTAACTGTTAGAACCGAACCGGACCCGAGATTCGTGTTCAAGTTCGGTGGGGAGCCTGAGTGTAGTCCTCAGGTTTTCCAGGTTCAAGGAAGTCTTAAACAGGCAGTATTCACCTGCAAGTTTGGTTTCAAAAACTCCGGCGACCGAAACTTGGGATCAAGGTTAGTCTTGTTTTGGTTAGTAGTAAGATTCAGGACAGAACTAAAAGAACTAGTTTTGAATGTGTTTTGTTGTTGTGCAGATCATCTTTGTTTGAATCAAAAACTTCCAGGAATTGGTTGCCTTCTTTGAAATCTGATAAAGATCAGTTCTTCAAAGAACGAAAAGGATGGTCGATTACAATCCACAACCTCTCTGGCTCTCCCGTAGCGATGGCATCAATGGTGACACCGTTCGTGCCATCTCCTGGCTCCGACAGGGTCACCCGATCCAACCCAGGAGCATGGCTAATTCTCCGTCCCGGTTGTGGAACCTGGAAGCCATGGGGTCGTCTCGAAGCCTGGAGTGAGCCAGGTTTCACCGACGCCTTAGGATACCGATTCGATATCTTCCACGACGATATAGCCACCACAAACGCAACCACCACGATTGCCACTTCCACCATCAGCACCAAACACGGCGGGAAATTCACCATAGACACGACAACAACCTACGTAGCAACAACACCATCGATAACCCCACAAAGCAGCGGTGACTTCGGGTCAAGCACCTCAGGGTCAAGACCGGGATCCGGATCAGGGTCGGACTTCGGGTTCTGGACATCCCTCTCGCCGCAGAAATCGTTCAGGTCGGGAGGGTTCGTGATGTCGTCAATGGTGGAAGGAGTGGGGAAGTGCAGTGAACCGGAAGTGGAAGTAGGAGTGAATCACGTGACATGCACGGAGGATGCAGCAGCTTTTGTGGCATTGGCAGCGGCCATGGATCTAAGCATGGATGCCTGTCTGTCTTTCTCTACAAAGCTTAGGAAAGAGCTGAGGCAGCAAACTCAGAATTTTGTCGTTTAATGTAGTGGGACTTTGTCGTTTTTAGGTCAGTTCCTGTGGTAGAACTGATCGGATGTGGTTCTGTTAGGGTTTTTTTTTTTTTTTGGATGATTCTTTTGGCAGATAACTAACAGCAGTCTTTGAGCTGGACTTTCGACTGTTAGTTTTGTACAGTGCGGAGTGACAAGCCTGCATATTTTCCCCATTTTTAATTCCTTGTTGTGATTACAGATTCCCCCTACTTTTATCTTTGATGTTTGTACAATATATATGGGTAATTATCTATTTGGTCACTCGTTTATTCTTATATTTTTATTTTAATCATTTAATTATTTTTTCAAAATCACATCTAACGTTTTATTTTTGTTTTAAATAATATTCTAAAAAACTAACGAAAATGGTGACATGTCCTACTATAATAATTTTTTTAATAAATTCGAGGTGAATACAAGATAATATATATTCAAAGACTTTCAACCCATCAAATATTTAGACCAACCCACAATTTTCTCATCCTCATTTCTTTATATCAATCCTTCTCTTTCTCCTCTTCAACAACCCTAAATCCCAAAAAAAATTAAATAAGATAGGATTTTTGTTTATTGAATGAATTATTGATAAATTTCCCCATATTCTACATTCAATATTTTTATGGATTTAGGGTTGTTACATAGGAAAAAATAAGGGTTGATGCAAAGGAAAGGAGGATGAGAATATTAAGGTTTAATCTAAATATTAAGAAAAAGGAAGGGTTGATGCAAAGGAAGGAGGATGAGAATATTGAGGTTTAATCTAAATATTTGATAGATCATTTTAAATTAAGATCTAATTGATAGAATGTATAAATATGAAAACTAATGTTGTTATTATACTAAGACTCGTTGGATGAACAGAATTGAAAAAAGGAAAAAATTAATTGAATGATTAAAACAGAAATAAAAAAAATAAACCAATGACTTAATAGGTAGTTTACTCAATATACTTTGTTGTACATATGCATGTGTTGGATTGAAGTACATCCATTTTCGTAGTTGCATAGATAAGAGAGATAGGGTACTGATAAATGCACGAGCACACCTACTTTTATCTCAGCTGCACACAAGGGTAATGTTTTCAAGACTATAATTCCATAGTGAAATTAGGTGAAAGATGAAACAAAACATACCTAAATTTAACAACAATAATTCCTTAATTAGGTATCATTTGTTGATTTTTGTTCATCAACCTACAATTAAATTTAAACACAAGTGGCGTTTTCACATTAATAAACGTAGATAGGAATATCAGATGAAGCGAGTAATAAAACAAGCTTTTATTGGAAAAATATATTTGAACTCTGAGTTGGTGGCTGATACTGGTGGTTTCACTTGGGCTAGACTCAGTTCGGCTCGGTTACTTTAGCATAAAGAAGCTTCACCGTGGCGTCTACTCCAAATCCCAATGTATAGCTAGTTGGCAGTTTCTTCTTCCTCTGTAAACATCTCATCTGCATCTCTGTGATCTCATAGTTTTCACTATAATCATGTCTTATGATTTTACCTTTTTAACAGTGACACAAGTCCATGGAAGGACATTTGGCATCTGGACTCTCCTCACTTGCACTTTGTGCTGTATCTGGTCATTTCTCAATTAAATATTTTTGTATTTCTTTTGAAATTTTTCTGTAAATCATACTTTTGTTATCATTCTGTCTATCAAAGCCCCTTAAGTTTCTTGAAACCTTCATAATTCCATATATTCTAGTCAACTACGATCACTTGACAAGATCATTGGTATGCCTACGTATACTCATCATCACCTTATACCTACACCAGCATGCAAGGCTGGAAGAAAAGGTCTCGGACTCTCAGCCTCTCTCAACATTCGTCATCATCCTGAGTTTATCTACTCTGTACCTCTTTATAGAACCATTATCACCAATCAATGACAGATTTAGAAATATCTTTATTAGAGTGAGTATATATATATTAACAACACAATTTTTTTGTACAGGATAGACGTAAATAAAATTTCAGGATGACACAATGGACCTGTAAAGGGTAATTGAAGTTTAAGAAAGAGTATTGACATAGAGGAACTTGCCATAAATTATACAGATTGCATCCACTGACAACATCATATATAGTCTACATTTCGACTTCCAAGTTGAAACCGTATTCTCTAAAAACAGTGCCTGCGTATCAAAATAGAGTGCAAACATAGTTTTTCCAACAACAAAAAAAAGTGCAAACATAGCAGTTTTAAAGCATTTCAAAAGAATTGAACAGCCACACAAATCAGATTTTCATTCAGCAACAGTATCTTCATGGTTGCTCCCTTCTGTTGTCATATCCGGTAATGTACTAAGATCAACAGCAGCATCTTTCTGTTCTTGGGTAACCAAATTGTCGGTAGAATCAATGGGGTCATTGTGACCTCCATCCACAGTCTCAATAGATATGGAAGTGTCTGAGCTTTCATCTGCTCCCCTTGATTCATCGTCACCTTCTTGTTTCTCATTCTGTGTTGAATCTGTATTCTCCTTAGTCGTGGAAGACTCAGAATTGTGCCCTTTGGCTGTTGAATTTATCCTGGGATTATCGTCTGACATGCCAGACCCTGTATTGGTTGATGAATTTGAGGATTCTGTTGTACCTTGAGCTGCAGTCCCATTCTGCAGTGAACCCGGCATTTCTGTGTTCGCTTTTGAATCCATGTTGCCTGTTTCTTTACTAACTTCTGTAGAGTTAATGCTTGCTTGGTCAACAAAGTCAGTTGTGTTTGTTGTATTTGGAGGAGAGACATGCTCAGAGTTGGCTGATCCAGTCTCATGATCATTTTCTTTAGTGTACGTCACATTCAAGGAATTATCACTTTCGGAGTGATTACCTTCATTGACCTTCACTTCCGACTTGTTTTCATCATTATTAGAGGACCTACCTCCTTCAGAGTATTTACCTTCATCATCCTTCGCTTCAGACTTGTTCTCATCACCATTGGATTTCTCGGTAGCATTGGTTTTGCTTTCCTGCTCCAAAACATTCCTTGTTAAGTTGTCACTTGAATTTTCCGTTTCTAATTTATCAGACCCAGAGCTAACAATTTGTGTGTCGTGGGACACAGCACTGGACGCATCATCAGCCCTGTAATGCACCTCTCTCGCCTCATGTGCCTCCCTGTCATCTCCATTAAGATTCTGATCATTTGCTGAATGCTCACTTTCGTCTTGACCCTCTTTTTCATCATTTTCTTTTTCCTCATTCTCTTTATCATCGCCCTCGGCTTCTCTCTCTTTCTCCTCATCCATTAATTCTTCTTCATTGCCAACTTCAGCATCAGCTCTCTCTTGCTCGTTTTCATCGACCTCATCATCTCCTTTTCCTTCATCTTCTGCTTCTTCATCCTTAACTTCAGCTTCTTGCTCTTCGTCATCACGTTTGCTGCCTTCATCTCCCCGCACTTCTTCCGCCTCTTCTTCTTCTTCGTGTTTGCTTCCTTCTTCCTGCTGCTCCTCTTCTTCGTGTTTGCTAGCTCCTTCATGTTCCTCTTCGTCAAGCCTCTTAGGTTTCTCTTCCCGTTCATCATGTTCATTTTCACCCTCTATTGCACTTTCTTCTTCCTCTTCTTCCGCATGTCTGTAGCTCTTAGATGCTTCCTGCACACGAGGAAGGTCTTTCCTACCAAACTTTACAATCAAATCATCGGATTGTTCTTTCACAGAAACTTTAGTTTCTTTCTCATCAAATTCTTTTCTCTTATCATGGGAATGCTTGACCTGGTAGATTAACCAGAAACAGACCCCAAGTAGCAGACAAACCTGAAGGACATGTTTCATCCTGATACCCTTCGATCTTTGGTTTCGGCTAGACGTCTTCTTGAACATGGTGGAAATCGAACGATCTCGAACACCGATTTCCTTTATCGTGTTATATATGTATATATCAGGCGACTGAAAATGATTAAAAGGACTAATTAACCATTCAAGAAAAACAAATTGCATGTCTACAGAATGGTTGTAACTAAAAGTTGCACTTTCTCTTCAAAAAGTAATTTTCATCCATACTCGAGTTCCAAAATCATACCTGGATGCTAAATTATAAGGTATCCAAAAATGCTCAGCAATATCTTTGACATAAAACCAATTCAGAAACAACACAATCAACATTCTACGTCTATATTTTCAAAGCTTAAAGACCATAGTGATGAAGAAAATATGAACTTTAAGACCACAATAACACAACTAGTTGAGATCAATTTGGGGCATCCTCAAAATTCTTATAGTAACAGTGCACTTGCTCTTGAATTAATTGCAAAAATAGGAGTCGAAACAAAGGAGGTCAAACAGACAAACAAAATCACATGTCCGGTTTCGGATTTCAACATGATCTCTTAAGAATGAAAGTGCGCCCTTCAAGAAGTAACATGACGTGAAAAAAATCAAAAGAACAGACAAAGTTTAGCACCTTTTGGAAACCTGTCAAGTTAGATTCTTTTGTTAAATACTGGAAACTGGCTGTTTTCTAACCTTATTAACTAGTGATAGAAACATAGAACGAGCATTACAAATCCTACAACTACTTGTGACAGGGGATGGGTTCACAGTAACAAGGCCGGAACCCTCAACTTGGTGCCGACAGACTTGAAATTCAGACCAAGTCTTGCAACTGAAGCAGTGGCTTGTTGGCAACAAGCCATCACACTTAACAATACCATATGGTATAAAAGAGGTAAGACCGGAACCCTCAACTAATACCGATTATTTTTCTTCCCTCATTGTCTTACTCTTAGCAAGATGAATGGCATTCAATAACATGAACTGGGATCTAACATAAACCTCTTTTACCGTCTCATATGGTATAAAGAATGCTTTAGCATATGAAAGAAGCTCAACTAGGGGTAAATACTTAGGTTGCATAAAACATATCAGGGAAACTAACACTTCCACTTTCACTTCCAATGAAGCAAAACCCATTGTTTCTCATTATATGTATAAACAAAAATCTAACCACGCCTACTTCAAATCCACATCACAAGCTATAGCACCCAGCAAATGAAAGGAAAACCCCAAGGAAGCCCTGACTAAGAAGCAAAATAGCACAGTGAAGCAACAACAAATCTCAAAATTTAGAGACCCGTGTCCCCAAAAATAGCAGAAACAAGAATCTAAAGATGCAAATCATGCTGCGATTACAAACAAGGAAGTTGCTTTACAAGTTTCAAACAAAAACTGAAGGAACAAGTTAAAAGGATGATGGTAAAGCAAGTAAATTACCTGGAGAAAATAAAAAGTTACAAGTGAGAGAGAGAGAGAGATGCAAAGGAGAAGTCTTTCACGGTTCTTCTCACTGCCCTCTCCTGGATCCAAGACGAACCTCCCCTCACACACACCCACTTGTCACTATTCTTCTGGGCTTCTGGCCGCCGAGATTTGCATTTCAGTCCCTTGCTCCCACGAAAAATTATTTTAGCTTCGAGTTAATTTCATCACACATCCTTACACTGTGTATCCAGTTTTAAATTAATCCTTAAATTTTAAATAATTCATTTATGTCCTCAGAATATCAGATTTAATCAATTAAATCTTTCCATTAGTTTAGCTGTTAACGTGAGAGATAAAGGTTAGTTCGGACCTTATGGAAGCATGTTTAAAGCAAACAACCTAATTATTTAATACACAGTAACTAAACTATCCATACAATACATATACACATCTCTAAACTTTGATTTATAAACGTATTTCGTGTTATATTTGAACAATTATTTATCAGGTCCAACACCTAAGTCAATAGAATGATCTAATTAGTATTATATTTTGATGGCTTAATTGAAATATTTTAAAATTTGTGGTCAATTTACAATCTATGTCACTATCATAAGATGTTTTGTGCAATTAATCTTTTAGTTTCCTTTCTTGGTTGATTTCACTCCTAAATTATTGCTGATAATTTTCGCTTAAGACAAACAGTATCATTGTTTTCATCTTCAAATTGTGTATGTCATGAAAATTTGACAAGTCAATACAAAAAATTAATAAAATTAAACTTAATAAATATAATAAATAAATGATAATGACATTTATAGAGACACATTGATCAGATTTAGGATGATCATAGATTGGGTTGTTCGAGTTTTTGTTTCACCCATGTTTTATTTAAGTATAATATTTTCACTATATTAAATTAAGTATAATCGAATCTAATTAAGTTATGTTAAAATTAAAATTAAATAAAAAATTAAAATTTCAAAAATTAATACCAATTCGATTTAAAATGAAAATTATTCAACCTTAATAGTGGTCACTTGTCACGACCGAGTCAATATATATTGGATTGTGTCACTAAAGTATAATATGAAATTATCGATAATTAGTTGGTTTAATTGAATAAAATATTAGATTTTTTTAAGTAAAATTAAAAGTTTAAGTCACGTCGTTATGAGTAGAGTAAATTGAATTTATGGGATCGTTTCTCATGATGAGTTTATGTAGTATCTAATTCTAATTAATCAATTAATAGATCACATGCCAACGTATAGATATATTAATTAAATGTAATATCATTTTCCATGGACAAAGTTAGAATTTTCGTTGAGAGACTAATGAGTTATAAATATTGGAACTCATCAAATGACTTCGGTGGTAAAAAAGAATATTCTTCTTCTTAGATGTTTTGGATTCGAGCAGTTATATTTGTAGGATGTACGTACGTTGTAAATATGTTAATTTTTTTTTAAACATATACTACTTTGTAATTACCTTAAATTATTAAAAAAAGTATGGTTTTTCAATTAGACTAATTTATAATTACATGATTTCTTAACGGACTACAAAACTAAATCGTTCATTTTAGAGACCAAGATAGATATCGATTAATTAATAGATCAGATATTAACATATTGATATGTATTAAAATATAATATTATTTATCATAGATAAATTTAGGGTTTATATTGAGAGGCTATAATGAATTATAAATATTTGAATATATCAAATGACCTTAATAGTAAAAGAGAGTGTTATTTTTCTTAGAGATTCGGGGTTTGATTAGCTACGTTTGTAGGGTATGTGCGCGTTGTTAATATGTTAAATTTTTTTTAGCAAACCTTTATAATTACACTCAAGAATATTGAAAAAAATCTAAAATTTTAATTAGACTAATTTATAATTACACGACAAATTTTTAAACTTTAAAAATAATTTGTTTAATCTTTTATCATTAACAAACCTTTACCCAATAACTGAACCGAAATTTATTTGAAAATTATTAACCGAACAAATTTCTGTTAATTCGATTAATTTCAAATTAACCAATTTTTTTAATTTATATAACAATGGAATATTTTTTTAATTTTAAAAAAATAGTTTACAATTAATTTAAATAATAAATAGCAGTGAATCATTTATTTAATTTTTTAATAATTTATTTAAACAAATAATTTGTTTATTTTTTTTATCCTTAACAACCCTTTAAAGGATAAATACAAATTGTTGTAACTTTAAACCATTTGAGACCTTTGACCTAATGGTTTGGGCGCCTGTTGCTCTATCCCTCAAGACCGTGATTTGATTCCCCTTGAGCACCCTTTATCACCGCCTGATTGTTAGAAAAATTATTTAATTAAATAATTTAAAATTTATAAATAAAACCTTCCAATCATGTATTGACACATGTCACATTCTAATGGATAATTAAATTTATTTAATTGAATTAAAATAGTGATTAAATTGATAGAATATGTAAATATTAAGGACAAAAAATATAATTATGTCAATTTTATTAATGGACGTGTCACCACATCTATTAAAAATTAATGGTCGGTGGTTTGATTGAATCAATTAAATAGTTGGGTGTCTGATTGATTCAAATGAAAGTTCGATGGTCAAATTGATTTTTTATCATAATTTAGTGGTCTCCAGTGTAGTTTACCCTAACATTTTCATTAAAATATTCACATTTAATTCATTTTCTTATTCTCGTATTACTTCTTGATAAAATTTACTTAAAACTGATAAAAGTTCTTTTAAAAATTTAATATTCTAATGTTTCAATTTCTTTTGATGGTCGTCCAATGAGATTAATTTTAAGGTATAAATGCTTATTGTTGTTCTTATTTTCGAACAAATACCCAACCCCCAAATATTAAAACCCTCAAAATTTTAAAAATAACGACTTTTTTTTTAATTTCGTAAGTTATTTAGGAAAACTAATTTAATAAAATGGTAGAAGAAGATGAGATGAATTCAGTAGTGTCTAATGTGATCATAAAGAACATAAAAAATGATGATTTTTTATTATAATTAAAAATGAGGTGAATTTTTTAATTTTAATAAAGAAGATGATAAATTAAAATTAAAATACTTTTAAACTTCTACATCAACACCAGAACTGTCGCATCATTCAACTATTAATAATTTAACGACAAGCTTTAATTGAACCCTGAACTAAGATTTAATACTAAAACCGAATTAATTTAAAATTTAGTGGTAAAATCGATATAAACTCTAAAGTTAAATGACATTTCGCATAATAACAAGACAAAGAAACGGGTCCCACAAGACGTGGCATAAGATGACTAAGTGAGAATAATTTATGACTACGTTGACCAGAGGCGCGAATGCTAGGGTTTTAATTATCTCTGTGGTTTGGCTTAGAACCGAAAAGCCGTCACGTTTTTGTATTTTTGGCCGCATAAAAAAGAAGCAGCTTTTTCCAGTATTTTTGGAGGAAAGAAGGGTTGGAAATCTGAAAGATGTCTCTGATTAACAATCTATCAACTTCAATGATTTCTTCGTCTTCCTCTGCTTTCTTGGCTCCAACCAGTTTCAATTCAAGGTATATTTTTTTAATGTTGTACTTTTGATTTTCTTGTTTCTGTTTGGTTTTTGAGAAAACAAAATGCCACTTCTCTTTCTTTTTATCATTTCAATTGTTGATTTTATTGGGTTTTTTCTTTGTTGGAATAATGCAGCAGAACCCAGAATGTTTCAGTGAAAAGCCTCCGTATAGTTAAATGTATAACTACTCCTCAAGAACAACAGACTGGTGATTATTCTTGTTCTTTTTTAATTATTATTGCAATTTTTTGGGTATGTGGAAACTTGAATTTCATTGCTTCAAAGCTAATACTGAGTGGTTGAGCTGGTTATTAATCTCACTAAGAACAACAGTTCATGTGTAGTAGAAGAAATGACTTGGTGATGGTGATGATATTTTTATTTTCTGCAAGTACTTCTAAACTTGAATATGACTAAATGGAGCTATTTGTTTTGAAGCTTACAAAACAAAGGTTTCTCGCAATGCGAACATAGCCAAACTTCAAGCTGGTTACCTGTTTCCAGAGGTCTGTGGTACTTCTCATTAGTCTAATCCTTTTCTTTGATGCGGTTGGTGTTATTCATAAACTTTTCCCTTTAGATACAGATTATGTTTTTCATGTGCTGTTTCCAAAAATGCTTGGTTTTGATTGTACTGTTATCTTTTAAATAAGAAGACATAGTTTTCCCAGTTGTTTGTCCGATGTCCAGGCTTATTTGTTTGCTGTTGAGAGTAGTTCTTTTGAATGTTTATCATAACAGGTTGCCAGAAGAAGGGCTGCACACTTGCTCAAGTACCCAAACGCACAAGTGATTAGCCTTGGAATTGGTGATACTACTGAACCTATTCCAGATGTTATTACTTCTGCAATGGCTAAGGTAATTGTTCCTTGTTTTTGCCCTTTTTTAGGCTTGAATCTCTATTTCTAATCAATATTTCTTGCTACCATCTTCAAAATCTATTCAAGAATATGTAATATAACTCTTGCGCAAAGAATTTAAGCTTCCAAGTAGTGCCTGAATCGAAGGTCGAGTGTATAAGAGATTAAGCTGATACCAATCGTATTATTTTCTATTTGGCAGAGATCTCATGCATTGTCTACGCTGGAGGGTTACAGTGGTTATGGAGCTGAACAAGGTGAAAAAGTATGTCGTTTTGAGTCTTTAGTATAAATATTCCTGACTTCAAAAATAAAGCTCTTTAATAATGTTGTAGTTTGGTTTAATCAGTAGTAGATGCATATTTCGTTTTTTGTGTGTGGAGGGGGGATATCTCATCATTTGCCAACTACAAACTAAAGGCCCAAATTGGATTTAAGTGGGGCAATAAATTAGTCCATTCATGTTATAGAGGAATTTTCTTATGTTAGATGTGACCACGTTTCAAGTCACAACTTTAATGTTAATTTCTGCAGGCATTGAGAGCTGCACTTGCTTCAATATTTTATGGCAACCTTGGCATTGAGGAGGATGATATATTTGTCTCAGATGGTGCTAAATGTGACATATCTCGCCTTCAGGTTTGATTTAATTATTCTTTGAAAGTACTTTACCTCACCTCTTCTTGAAGTAGTTGATGACTGATTTAAACTTGATCTTATCGGTTTTGATTTTATTCTGGGCCAGATTGTTTTTGGATCTAATGTTACAATGGCAGTGCAAGATCCATCATACCCGGTAACTTTTCTTTGTTGTTTTATTGTGACAATCTTTTTCAATTTATCATATTCATATGTCAAACTATCATGTTTGGTTGGTCTGGTCCTCTATTGTATGAAGCTTGGATGAACAAACTTTTAATTTGTTTATTTGAAAGGGAGGTGAACTTTTGAAATTCTGATATAGATATTCCTGTCACGCTCTTTATTCAGACAAGGCATCACTCAGCCTTTTCATATTTGTACTTGTTATGTCAGGCCTGGGTCTCTTACAAGACTGAGTTTTTCTGTCATTCTAAGTTTTGCTATTATGTGCAGGCTTATGTAGATTCCAGTGTTATCATGGGCCAGACTGGACAGTTTCAAAAGGATGTTGAGAGGTTTGCAAATATCGAGTATATGAGGTGTACACCAGAGAACGGGTTCTTTCCTGATTTATCCAATGTTGGCAGACCAGATATCATATTCTTCTGTTCACCAAACAATCCTACTGGAGCTGCTGCAACAAGAGAGCAATTGACTCGATTAGTTCAGTTTGCAAAGGAAAATGGGTCTATCATAGTATATGATTCTGCATATGCCCTGTATATGTCAGATGAAAACCCACGTTCTATCTTTGAAATTCCTGGAGCAAAAGAGGTAACTCTGCAGTTAACAATGTTTTCATACTCGGGCTTGTTATCTAGTGCGGTAATTCTGGATTGACTATATGTTTGACGTGTAAATTTCCTTTTTGGTATTCTAGGTTGCAATTGAAACAGCTTCCTTTAGTAAGTATGCTGGATTTACTGGAGTTCGTCTCGGTTGGACTGTTGTTCCGAAACAGCTTCTGTTCTCAGATGGATTTCCTGTTGCCAAGGACTTCAACCGTATTGTTTGCACTTGCTTTAATGGTGCGTCTAATATTTCCCAAGCTGGTGGCTTGGCTTGCCTTTCACCTGAAGGGCTTGAGGTTAGTGTCCTTGCCTGGCTTTATTGTCAAAACATATTTTGTGAATGCTAGCATCCTGATTTTGGATTTGTTTCTCGGCAGGCAATGCAAGAGGTGATTGGTTTTTATAAAGAAAATACCAAAATTATAGTAGAGACATTTAACTCACTTGGGTTTAAAGTGTATGGAGGGCAGAATGCACCATACGTGTGGGTCCACTTCCCTGGCCGCAACTCTTGGGATGTGTTCAGTGAGATACTCGAGAAGACCCACATTGTCACTACTCCTGGAAGTGGTTTTGGACCTGGCGGTGAAGGTTTCATTAGGGTCAGCGCATTTGGTCATAGGGAGAATGTCTTGGAAGCCTGCAGAAGATTCAGGCAGCTTTACAATTGAATCGATAGCATTTGACTCCGTTGCCTCGATTTTAGTCCTGAGATGAAATGCCATCTGGTTTATGATTTATTCTCTGTTCTGTTAGTAACATTACTCATAATATCGTATCGGATTCTATGCCAAGAATGAGAAGCATTTGTCCTGTAACATTCACTGAATCTGGTTTTTCAGATATATAAATAAGTGCTTGCATTTGGTAGGAATTTCTAGATCTAGTTTCTTGTTCGAGCATAAAGAGTCCATTCGTCTGTTTAGTGTCTAGCAGTGTTTATCAGATACTTTTTTCCCGTAAAATTATGTTCGAATACGTTTAATGCAATACAGGATGCTGTATTTGTAATCCGAAACTTGCTAGTCTTGGTTCACAATATTGGTGATGCCAACTTTGATAAAAGAAAGTGTAACATGATATGTGAAAACAGCTAACATGATTCCTATTGTACATCTGTTCTTGTTTCTTAGCTAGAAAAGTAATAAAATAATGTGGCAGATTATCCAACTATGTGTTTGGTAGTGAAGAAAATGGAACTGCAAATAGAAATTCTTTTGCTTGTAGAAACAATTGGTTTGTTCTGAAATTTTCATAGTTCCCTCAATTTAATCAACTGGTGGAGCTCTGTAATATGCTGGCACAGTTGCAGGGAAAAACATTTGTCTAATTCCTTCTGCCCTGATAATAGGGAAAATAATGCCTGATGCACCCTGCAGGAAATATAATCGAAAACGCAGTCAAGGAAACGAGAACGAGATCATATAACACAATGAGATTTAGAAGATCAGATACAGACCGAAATTAGACGAACCCCAGTCCAGATGCGTGCTGGGGAAGGAAATGGAAGTAACAAACGGCCAACGCCATATATTGCCACGGAAAAGAAATGTATTACTAGGCTTATGGGATGAGGATTTAGACCGGAGAGTAGAGATATAGGTCCGGTTGAAAATGAGCCTCCTAGGCTCAAATAGTTGAAACATGCTTCCCGCATCTCCTCCATTGCTGCATCAGGTGAGACACTAAAAACCTTGTATAGGGCACCAGCCAATGTGTTTATTGTAGATGCCACTGGCTGCAGATCATAAACCAATACCATTCAGTGTGTGGAAAACTGCACATCGTTCTCGTTCTTTAGATTTCGGAATTAAGTGTTTACTTCAAATGTGTTTGAAGCTTACCTTCCGCAAGGTATAAAAGGATTCGAGATATCTGCTAAGAGCAGATGCATCATGAAGATTGTGGAGTGGTCTTAGAAGATCTCTTAGGAGAACAATATCAGATAGTGCAACAGTCATCCCTCCTCCGGTCAAAGGATGTCGCATATTGAACGCGTCCCCCATTAAAAGTGCACCGGGAGTTGGCAGTGGAGCTGCAGGCATGCTTCTATTTGTCATGCTTCTTATGTTCCCCTTATTGACTGCTGTGATAAAAGCAGTGTACAGTTCAGGAGGTATCTGATATGCATAATCCACATGGTTAGAAGTTAGACCAGAATCAAATGCTATGATTCGACTTGTAACAGATAAACCGAAGCGATAAGCGAGAGACACAAGTACCTGAGGAGCCACCGTAGTTTTCAAGTAATGCGCCATCTCACCGTTCGAAACAGACGGTACTTTTTGGCCAGGTACGTCGACCAAGCAACGAACCTCTGTGCTGCTAATAGGATAAAACAAGATAGGTGAAGGGTCTGCCAATATAACATGTCCATGATTCGCATGTGGAAGCTCACAGTTCTCCAGAATCAAACCGACAAAACAAGAAGGGACATCGACCTGAATCGAAAAATATCATCTTTTATGTTGTCAACCAGACACCACTCCTTAACGCAAGATCTAGATGAGAGATTCCTTACCTTAGGGTCACAAAGAGCACGCCGCAGATTCGAGAAACCACCGTCGCATACAATAGTAAGGGGAGCATAGGCTGTGAACTCTTCACCGCCCTTAGTTTTGTACTGAACCCCTTTGATAGTCCCTTTTTCTTCTAACAGAGATGTGACCGATCCTTGTTCTAGACTTACACTGTGAAAAGGAAACTAATACGAATATTTTACGAAAATAAGAGGTTCAGATAACAACATGCACAACAGAAGTAACAGAATATCATTACTTGGGTAGAGTTGCAGCTTTGTGCCGCATCCTTTGAATGAAACGTCCATTATGAAAGCTTCTTCCTGCAACATCGGATCGAAAGTTTTTGAGTGGATACGACAACTTCGTGTTCTTCCCGTCTTTGAACAAAGCGTAACCGTAAACTCTTTGAGCATCAATCTGTTCTACGCAATCTGAAAGAACAAGAATACAATGTCAAAGAAGCCTTATAAACAAAACATGGATCAGATCAACCAGGGCCTTTGGATACCTTCGAGTCCCAATTCAATTAATTTAAGATATCCCCCTGGTTGCAGAAGCTCGCCAACAATCCTGTCAGGCTCGTTCAAGTCCCTCTCGATCACACACACTCGCCGTGAGTCCTGAATCAAAAATATATATATATTATCAATAGTAAACACAAAGTAAATATCTAAAATGAATATATGTATACATATTTATCAATAGAAAATACAAAGTAAATATCCAAAATAAATATATTTGTACATCAATGCTATTATGGAAAGTTTTATCAAAGAAAAGATGTAATCAAGGGAACATGAGTGATGTTGGGACCTTTCCAAGTGTATAAGCAAGAGCAGCACCGGCAACTCCGGCGCCGACAATGATAACGTCGGTAGTATTCCCGGCATCAACCTCCACATTTCCAGTTATCTCTACGCAATTTTCCTCTCCAAACACAGAAGAAGAAGCTTTTTCCTTGCTGGTTATTCTCTTGTACAAAATAACAAACCCCAATAATGAAACTATCACTGCAACTACATACTCGTAAGCCATAATATGAAGATCAGTGAACAAGAAAAGAACAATGGATGAATGATGAAGAGGATTGGTTTGGGAAATAAGGAAGCTTAGGGTACTTTATATATAATGAAGAGGATTTGTGTTTTAGGTTCCTGAAAGGTTCTGTTTTCTGTTTTTATTGTGATTGTAGAACGCCATTACTGCCAAACTTAGAGACCTCTTAAGCTCAGTTTGGCAGGCGTCCATAGTTTAATGGTTCTGGTAAAGGTTCATAATTTTGTCATTAGCTTCATCATCCTTGGACTCTTTTGCCCATTTGAAGTTTGACTTTTAGTTTTGGTCCAAATTGTTATCAGTCCCTGTACTTTATCAATGTATGAGATTTAACAATGTCACCAATTATGTATACATGTTAATGTCAATTGATTACTTAATTATGAGTTTAGTAAAAATCAACTGATTACTTTTTTTTCTTCTAAAAGTTATAAATAAGTCGTTTAATTAAAATATTATTATAAACAGATTATTCTATCGCTAAATACTAAATAAATAAATGATATGATTTGATATAATAATAATTTTGTCTTTGAAATTTATTCATTTTTTCAATTTAATCCAAATCTGATAAATTTAATAAATTTAACTCTTTATATTTAAAAATTCTATCATTCTAGTCTTTATTCTTCTTCCATAAATATTATATTACTTTCATATTATTTTCATTGTATAATAACAATTTAACAATAATTTGTTCTTCGAATATAATTATTCAACTACTGCTTTTATATGACAAATTTGATTATTCAATCTTTAGTTTACAAAACCACCCTTGTGATTTAAACTATATTACGATAATGTCCATAACGGCTAGTTTCAGAACCTGCAACAAATTTAAAACATCGGCTCAGGGGAACGGCTTCCAATGAACAAAAGAGATAATACTAAGTGCCAAACTCTCTCTACCGGCTAGTTTACGCTCCTCTTCATCGGATCTTAGATCTACGGCAACTGAAAAATGGACGAATTTCAGATCAATGATGCCGGCGCTGAAGAAGTAATTGGCGACGATTTCTACGAGGAGATTGAGGCTCCGAAGTTCGTAGACTTCTCCGCACTTGATCGTTGCCACACCGAACACGATGATCGTTACTGGTTCTGCCTCCGTGTAGGTGAGTTTTGTGTTTAATTGGAGATATAATCGATTTGTATATAAGATGAAGTTTAAATTTGTATTTGAGTTCAATTACTTTTGGTTGAAACAAACAAGTGTTCGCTGTTATGCCCCAGTGATTCTTTGTTCTTGTTTCTCAGGATGTGATCAAAAACATGAAGAAGAAATGGACTCTGAAGCAATTTATAAAAATTTTGTACTTAGGGTTAGTAAAAACTTCGCCCCCTTTCCCCCCTTCACATGAATCACATCTGCTCATATTTTTAAGTGATTGCTGAACTTTAACAATTGAATCTTTCAGGTTATGGCAGCTAGGAGTCCAAGTGTTGGGCTTCGAAAAGCTCTTGGCAAAAGAGACTCAAGGTATAGTCATCGAAATCTTTCTGTTTTTCTTCATTGAGACTCACAACTTTGTTTTCTTCACTGATTTGTTTCTTTTACTGTGATTTTAGGTCAAAATTGGAATGCCCCCGTACAGTTCCTGCCAAGTCTTCAAAGTCTAGTGTGTCAAAATTGGCTATGATATCATCCATTTTACAAAAGATGGGTGAAGCCAAAGTGAAAGTTATACATGTTCCTAAGCAGGGTTCAAGTTCCCCAAATGTGAAGGCAGCAAAGCAGTCATCTACTAAGGCCTTGACTACACCGAGGAACCAAAAAGGACTACTGAATCCCGGTACTTTTCAAAGTGTTCGAAACCCGAAACCAACTACAATTGAGGTGCCAAAGGATAGAGTGGTGGCAAAGGCTTTAGTGTTTCACTCTCCAAAGAAGGTAGTTAAGTTGAAGAAGTCTGTAGAATGGAGTAGTTCGTTAAGGAAGGTATGCGCAGGGATGAAGAAGCTTGAGATTAATGATGGAAGTAAGAAGAATGCATTGGGGTGCATTAATAAACCGTTAGATGTTCAAAGGAAACAGTTGAGAGGGAGAGAGGTTAAAAGCCGCGTGTATGATTCTTTGCATTGCCAGAAGCAGATGAATGAGGAAGCTAAATCTGTAAAACGTTTGAAGAAAAAGAACAGCAACAAAGACTTGCTGTTGTCCGAGGCTCCTATGTATCGAAAACCAGATGAAAAGGACTTGGTTGAGAGTCCTTCAGATAGCTTGGAGCAAGCAGTTAGCGAGAATACCAAAATTTCATCTCCCTCTAGGTGTAATAATAAACCGTTAGATGTTCCAAGGAAGCAGTTGAGAGGGAGAGAGGTTAAAAGCCGCTTGTATGATTCTTTGCATTGCCAGAAGCAGATGAATGAAGAAGCTAAATCTGTAAAACGTTTGAAGAAAAAGAACAGCAACAAAGACTTGCCGTTGTCCGAGGCTCCTATGTATCGAAAACCAGATGAAAAGGACTTGGTTGAGAGTCCTTCAGATAGCTTGGAGCAAGCAGTTAGCGAGAATACCAAAATTTCATCTCCCTCTAGGAGTAAGATGGCCTCCATTTCAGAGTCTGAAGGGGACAATGAAATTAATGAGAGCAGCAGCCATGAAGAGAACATTGAACCATGTTCTAACGACATTGAAATCCCCGAAGCAACAATGAATGATGACAAAGAAAATGCTTTGGCATCTAATATCCGAGTAAGTGAAAACAGTAAGGAAAATACAACAGCTTCTGATGAAAATAGGTATGGAATTCATGACTTGTTTTTTTCCTTCATAATTTTGTTTATTATTATTCACTTGCATTCACCATTGAATTTGCACTACGATTAATTGCAGACAATTGAATTGTTCTAGGGGCAAGACAGTGAAAAAGTATGTTCTTGGGAGACACGAGACTTCTAAAAATATTCAGAAGGTAGCTTATTTATAAATAAAGTCATATTATTTGTTTGTGTAATGTCTGTTTCTTGACAGTTTGTATGCCACCATTTGATTTATAATGTTCTTGATTATGCAGGGTACTAATGGAATGAATAAGACAATGAGAGAAAAGATAAAGGTGCTCCAGGGATGAAGTACAGAAAACCAAAGCTTACAAATCCCAAGCCTTTTCGTCTTAGAACTGATGTATGCATTTTTATGGAGTAGATATTATTGAAATGATGAAAAGAGGCATAATTTTTTCCATGTTATCTGATAATTTTCTGGCTGTTCAGGAAAGAGGAATCTTAAAGGAAGCAAACTTGGAGAAGAAGCATCTTCAAGCACCATTAAAAGAAACAAACACCTTTCGGGATCCCAAGGTGGAAATTCATCGAGGAAACATCAGGAAGTGAGTGCCTTGCTTAGACTCATTATACCATGGAATAATCATAGCCCCAGACTAATGGTCACCCCCCCCCCCCCGAATTACAGATAAATGAAAACAGTGACAACGGATCAGATACAATAACACTTCAAGATCAACCAGTAAGTTGGTTTTCTATTTGCTTTCCATATCTGTTCCTTGCCCATCTAGGGAATTTGCTGAGTTATCTTATGGTATTGTACTTTGTAGCATACCATCAAGACCTCTAGCTTGAAGAAATCACAAAGATTGGCAGAAACAAAGATTTCTTATTGTACTCCACAAAAACGTATTGTTCCTATGCATCAGAAAATGACATTTTCATCAGTGATGGTAAAAGGTCAAGACAAGGCAGCTAAAAAATCCGAGGGCAGATTAGAGAAAACTAAATCACCAACCGTCAAACAACTAGTGAGACCACGAGGGTAAGCAATCTGGAAACATCCTTGGCTTTGTTATCAATGAAGATTAATCTGTACGTTCTGTAAAGTTATAAATCATATTCCCAATTGTTACAGGCTAGCATCAAGTAGGAAGAAGCCAGCTCAAATCAGTGCAATAAGGAATATCACCTACAATGCCCAATGAAACATCGGATCATAATGAGAAAGGAACTTCCTTAGCAAAGAAGCCATCATCTCAGCGGAGAAAGCATACAACCATTCCAAAAGAGCCAAACTTCCATAGCCTTCAAGCGCCGAAAAGCTGCCGAAGAGTGTAGCATAATGCACATGTATCATAATCGTCTCGGTCATTGTCACCCTTTTTCTTTTAAAGATTTTTTTTATTTGCTTGCTTGAAGTATTTTGATAGCAGTAGTGTTGAGGGAATTCCAAGTTCCTATCTAAGTTATTGTATTTAAGCTGTAACATTTGTGCTACAAGAATGATACTGATGAATTCATTTACAAGATGCAATTTTTCAAGATCTTGCTTGAATTCATTTACAAGTGTAATTTTGGGGTATAATTGGGTTAACACCTTATCAAATCGTGGTAATTGCTTCTGGTGCTCTTAATGCTGCTGCTGCTGACAAGAACTATGACTTGGAAGCATGGTTTCCTGCATCTCAGACTTACAGAGAATTGTTGTCGTGCTCGAATTCTACAGATTTACAAATCGAGGCGACTCGAAATCAGATATGGCGGAAAAAGGTAGGTCTTGTTGGTTAGTCTTGTTATACACGAAGAAAGTTATATGCCACAATAACTACAACAGAGTGAACATGTACGCTATACATTCATGCGCATACACGAAGAAAGTCTTAAGCATATATATTCTTGGTTCTGCTTCTTTTTTGTATTGCAAACAATAAGCAGGCAGAACAATACGTTCATCTGTTGAACTCGACCATTACAGCAACAAAAAGGACCATGTGCTGCATAGTCGAGAATTACCAGAAGGAAGATGGTGTTTCTTGTGGTGTGTGTGAATCAAGGCCTTTTAACATGTAGTGCTTATTAAAAATGATGAGATTTCTTCCAAAGAGTTGGGAAATCGAGTCAATTCGAATAAAATAATTCTAAAATTGTATTTAATTTAAACATAACAAGCTTAAAAGATAAATGTAGAGAGAACTGACTTAGACTAATAAAAGAAATCTCAAGTTCCTAGTATCTACCACCAATGAAGCATATAAATCATATAATATAAGATAGTATATGTTTGCATCTGGCTTGGACTAAGCAAGTGATGCCTTCTCCAAACACAATTGACAGGAGGCTCTATCAATATCGAATCCCTCGGGTGCTTTTCGTCTGATGGATACAAATAAGCATATAGATGATGATGATCACTTGTTGTTGATGATGATGATTCTCCCAATGGTTTAAATAGTGATGAGGATGTAAGACCTGTACTTACCATCTCTACGAAGTTCAAATTCTCAATCCAACATTCGGCTGAAAGATTGAATTTCATAACTATTTTGGGCCTATGTGGTAGACATGGACACCTACGACCGGCTACCTGTTCGCTGGAAACATCAATTTGATACTCATGGTCTGGGACTCGCCAGCATTTCATAAGCGATCTCCATTCTCAACTATCGATGTCAAATAAGTCTAGTGTGCCACCTGAAAAAAAGACAGTAGAAACAGCCGTCTAAATAAGTTGAACTCAACGAGGAGCCATACCAGCTTCTATATGGATGACGTTCTACGAGGTAGCACGTCTTCCAACTCAGATCACCCGGTCGACATGTGCTAATACCAGTCGTTTCTTTAAATCTGTAGAAACTGAAAACAAGGCACTCTGAACTTGCTGAACTCAAGTTAAACGTGGCCGTCAAATCACCGAGTGTTGGCCAGCTCAAGAACCTCATTAGTGAAAGGAGAGTACAAGAAGAAGACACATCTGATACAAAAGCTGTACTCGGATTTGTTTTGGAAAAGAGCTATCGACTGGACTGATATTGAGCTGAACCGAAAATAAATCGATCTTCTCCCTTAACGCCTTTGTCGATGTATACCTTTTTGTCCAACGAGGTGTCCTTAAGCTTACATCTACCGATCACTCTCTTACCATCTATCGGCATGTCATTAACCATACTTTATCATTGGTGGGAATCCCATCGAGGGATACGTTCCACCAATCCTTGCAAGCTCCACGTATTCGGATTTGATGCGACCAATAAAATTTCTCCAGTATGCATTTAAGGATGTCACTGGGAAGCTTAGACCAATCTCTATCTTCATTGTTTTGCAAAACCATATTTTTGTCTTCCTTTTGTCCCTCGGCCATCACCACCACCATACTCTCCAGTACTCCATGAGATATATTTTAGGGTTGATGTCAGATATTAACTCAGATTTGAATTAAAATTTGAGTTGAATTTTATTATAGCTTATAAGGACCAAATATATATATTCTAAACAAATATTTAATATTTTTTTCAGTCCTTCACAATTCCGCCATTGTTGCAGAGCTCAAATTATTCTGTTGTTCTGAATTTGAGAAAAGGATGTTTGGGTTCAATGTTCAAACATCAAAGTCCTTTTTCTTGTATCTAAGAACCAAATTGCCATAGTAATAACAAAAGTTGACAATTACAGAGTATATGTGATAAACAGATAGCGATTTAAGCAAAGAATTTACAAACTTTGAGTCAAATACTCTGAACCAAAATGATATCACGATCTCTAATTCTATATTCTCTACCATCAGGTTGTTCAAGGGCTTCAAGGAACCTGCTTTCCAAGGTAGAATCAGCAGAGGAAGACGATCAACCTCAATCTTAGGCTCTTCCCTCTTAAGCCCAGATTTTGTTCGAAACAGAAAGCTTTTTCCCAGTGCTATCCACTTCGAAGCAGAGACCTTAACCTCCAATGGCGGTGGAGTAGTTTCACCCACATGGGGCAGAATCAACATTGCAGCAGTAGGCGCCATGATCAGAGATTAACTTTAATCGGGAATAAAAAAAAAGAAATGAGCAAATCTAGTAAATCGACAGTCGGCTCTTTTATAGAGAGGGGAAGCAAGAGGTTTTCGGGGAAAACCAGGGAAGAGAGTCTGTGGGCCTTTCGGTCGGTTTGTTTCGGATATTTTAATGATGAGATCGAACATATCGGTAAAAAGGTGGGGCTGACTTTATCCAATCATAAACAATGAGCGTGAAACAAGATTATGGGGACAGTGGAACACTGGATTGGGTTCTTGTAACGCCGTTGGTTTAATGAAACTGTTGGATGTACAAAAAAGAATCATTGCTCCTTGTGCATTATATTCATAAAGTATACATTTTTTTTGTTGGGGGGGGGGGGTTTGATTTCAGAAAACCGAAACTGAACATAAGCGAAACTTTTCAAGCTTTGTTGTTTCTAATGTTCGCCACTAGGTGTTACTGTATTCCTGACTTCGTCACCGTGATGTTACCAGAACGCCATTCCCTGTTATCTATTTTCACCGTATAAAACACCTTGTGATTCCGGATTTTCAGACCGATTAAGCATGCCGTCGTTCTTTTCTAAGTCCACTTCAGCCACTTGAAACAGGGGTAGTTTAGTTATATCCGTCAGGTTTTTTTCCGATGATTCGCCTTCCGATGGGGTTAACAGTTCATCCGTCTGATCAACACCACCTTCAAGCCTGGAAACTTGAGCTCCATCTATCAGGCTTTTCATTGTGAAATTATCGTCAGATGCGATCGGTGATGTCGACGCTTCGGCCTTGGCCATTTTCGCCTAAGCAAAGTTAAACTCATCAAGTTCATCAATGGCCCGACTGTAAGAATATGATGGTAAAAGAATCAACTACATTCATCAAACTGTATAGGAAAAAGCATCTGCGTACCTGCAGTGGCTTCATAATATCTGGCTCTCGATCATCAGTTCTGCTGAGTTCTTCTTTGGCTTGTAACTCCATGGAATCTCGAAAAATCTGACGCAGAAATGTCACGTCATCGGACATGACACCGAATCCTTTCAAAAGCTTGGATCCAAGTTGTAAGCTCGTCTGCATGGATAAATACGATGTAAGGGAGCTGAAGTATAACAGTTGAACCTTGTAATAACAATGCAATGCAGGGGGAAAAAGAATTTGTAGATACCTCTGTGTTCTCTAAGATCGCATCGGTTGCTCCGGCTTTTTTTAAGTCTAAGAGATGTTTGAGGTCTTGAGCTCTTGCGTAAATCGGAACCTTCTCGAAAGCATGTTTTAGCCGAAGATTAGCAGTCCAGCCAGGGGACAGTTTCTTTCTCTTTCGAAACAAGAAAAGAACATAGAAGAATCGGAGAAAGCAGTAGCAACTAGTAGTGAGCCTACTAGAGGTATGAATTTCAGGTGAACGTGAAGGGAACAACAAGAGCCAATGCACCATTGTTACAGACAAATGAATATACATGTGTGTGTATGTATGAACTATGTATGTATGTATTTTATCATCAAAATTTTATTGTAATATGTACAAATCACAAAGCCGGTGAGAACAAGAAAGAGAGGCATTACCGCAGGGAAGGCAAGCCGAAGCCTTTGAACAGCTTCAACTGTCCTATTTTTTCCTCGGTACATAATCATGACAGCTTTCGGGGACTTGATACCAGCAGATTGCAAAACACCTGGACGTGACCCGTCTCCGTAGAGAATCGGGAAACCAAGTTTTCTAGATGCCTGCAAATGCAGTAACATGTCTTTTGAATACCATGACGAGTCGGTAAAGATATAGTATATACTCGGTTTACATAATGAAATTCGGATACCTTTACAACAGAAAGATTGAGGTCGAAAGCTATATAATGTAATCCCATGAAGTCACCATCTACTCCAGCAGCGAGTGGAGTTGACAAAAAATTAGCGAGTACCTGCAAGTAAAAACATCAAAAACTAAAATAGAGTCGCGGCCACACAATAATAATTGTTGTTACTGCGTCATAACGGATGTACCTGTCCCATTTGCCCAAAGCCAATTATAACAACTGGTTCACTTGCATCGAAATTCACTGTCACGTCTTCATCGCCCTGTGAAAATTTCTTCTTTAAGTTCACACAGATAAATTCGTATTCAAAGCAAGATGATGAATACAAAAAATAGTCATCAATGGAACTGAAATGAAATACTATCATGAACATACATCTTTATTAAACTTGTCTTCAACGAAATCAGCAGCCCTTCTTCCAACTTCATTAAGCAGTGGGGTTAACGCCATCGAGAGTACCACAACAATAATAAGCAGCTTATTAAGCTCAAGAGGTAGGACTCCAAGGCTGCTCGAGAATGGCAGAAGACTTTATAGGCATAAAAACAAGTGTGTCTACTTAAGAGACTAGTTACTCCATCGAATTGAGCTCTGACGAACCTGTTAGCTAGAGAGAAAACGACAAATGCAAACTCGCCTCCTTGTGATAAAAGAAATCCCACTCTTACACTTTCCTGCAAG